CCCCCCCCCCCCCCCCCCGCCCCCCCGATCACCGCCTTCATTTCCTTTTTTCCACGTTACAAACAGGCACTCTTCTTCTTGAACGAGCGAGCATGGACTAAGATCAGCTGGGGCAAGGAGTACGAGCCGGAGTATTACCTGTAGGGGGTGTCAAGAAGAATAGGGGGCGTTGTGGATGATGATAGGTGGTAGGGGGGTTGGCGAGCCTCTCGTATGGTATACATACGGCCGTGTTGTTTGTATTTTTATGTTTTTTTTATGTTGGCTCGTGTGTTGGTGTTGTTCAATAGTGATAGTGGAACCCCCCATGTAGGGTGCGTTGCGTGCCTCTCTTTGTTGATTTTGCAGAGGGCCAAAGTGCAGCTGGGAAGCATTCCAGGATGTTCGTCGCTGCTGCCGCTGCGCTGCTGCTCGAACGCTCCGCACCTCTCCTCTGGAGAAGCCAGTTATTCGCCCTGAAACATATCGAAATATACGCATTTGCTCTTTTTATGTCGAACTAGTGGACGACGGGCGGCTTGTTTTGCATTTTGCGTGGGCGTGGTTGGTTCACTACTAAGCGTGCTATACGGCAGAGTGTCATGGTTTTATTTTCATGGGTTGTGTTGGGCGTCGCCAGTTGGTATTGGGGATGTGATTGGTTGTTAATGGACACACAGAGCGAGAGATGGAGAGCGAGTACATAAAGGATGGTTAGGAGGCAGAACTTGTCTTTGGAGTGTACAATCAACCATTTTTTTTATCTTGTTGGCTCCGTACTTCGAGTCTACAATCATCCCTTTTTTTTGTGTTGGCTGCGTAAAAGAGGGAGCGGTGGCTTTAGCGTCAGTCGCGAGAGTTCTTTGGGATGCCGACGCCATTATTTAGTTTTGGTTGGGGCCACCGTAGGGAGCAACCCCGTCATTCGAGCGGGCTTGCGGGGAATGCGAGGAGGCACGGCGTACAAGGCATAAGGATAGTTGGGTCGGTGGTGGAGATAGGTTCTGCCAGGTGCGTTGTCAGGGGTTGGGTCTCCGGTTGGATGGCTTAGAGAGAGAAAAGGTTTTCTGGCACGCAATTCGCTGATTGGTCAACGCACCTGCGGCGGAATTTGGAAAATGGCAAGAAATAGGGCGAGTTCCAATATCCTTGGACGACGGGTGACGTCATCCACGGTGGATTCGAGGATGGCCCAGTGGGCGATGTTGGAAAAATCGTGTCTTCGGATGATGAACTCTTATCATCATCCTGGCTGACTACAGGAGAACGGGGGTAGAAGAGATGGATCCTCCGACCATCCGATAGATCTCCGCTTTCAATCTTGCTTGGGGGTGGGTAGTAAAGAATGTTTCCGGTCTTCAACTGATAGATAGTCCAACCTTGGCGAAGAATACACTGACTGGTGCCTCTCGCCCACATCACTGTTGTCCTCCTCGCGTAGTTTACCCGAAGAGAGAAGAAGAGTTTTTTTTGTGGCTCTTAAGAGTTTTTACGAGAGAGACTTCACAGGAAACATACTACTGCTGTACTACGTCCTGTAGTCATGCCCACCTTTGATCCACCAGAGACACAAACAAGGAGAGATAAGAGGTCGTTGGTTCGATGACACTTACACATTCTCGGATAATGACCTATGACTGATTTCTCGATAAGACGATCCCAGCGGCAATGTATGTAACTGACAGATCCGTACGAAGTGGCACGCAGTTCGCTCCTCCAAAATTTCCGCGTAACAATGGAAGCGGGGTGGGCGGGGTGAGGACCTGCCTGAGCTCGCAGCTTACAGTCACCACAGCAGATTTTGGATTCCGCGCAAGCGGCGATGAGTTCAATTTCCCAATGGCAACACCAAGAATTCAAAGTGTGGGGCATCGATTGCCAAGATCTGTTCTGGAGAAGCCGCCATGACAGGAAGCTTTCCCGGACGGCAGCTTCTGAGGCCTGCCGCACGCCTACGACGATTATGGGCTTGTTGAACAATAACCGATTTTATGGTCGTTGCGAAGAGGTTGCCCACGCCATCCCTACATGTATGTACTGTGACGGATAACCAATTCCACCACAGGGTCTCGTGGTCAGGCTCCCTTCAGCACCCAAAGCTCCGGAGTTGCCCCACAAAGGCAACGCCGTAGCTACATCTATCTGCCAATCGAAAGCCGGGTTCGTGTGGGCTGTTGTCGTGCGGGGCATGTCGTTGAGGGGTGTGTCTGCTGTAGCAATAATAGTCGAAGAGATGCCTGTGAAATTTCTTCCTCGATCAGCCGGCTGGTATAGGCTACATATCCGGAGCATGAATCGCGCCAAACTCTTCCCCGGAAAATTGCTTCACCCGATGGCGGGGTGCTAAGGTGAGACCATGAACGTTTTACTCGTATTTTGGTGCTCTCCCGAACTCCCCATGCAGTGAGCGAGGGCTTGTGTCAAACGACCAACACCAACAAGCACGGCCTCCGAAGCATGTGCTCGAAAGCCCAGTCGAAGTCTTCGCCGAACCTCGTACTTCATCGAAGGACGCTTGCGTTCTCACCAACAATTCTGTGAATTGTGAACATTCCCGTCTCTATGGGCGACGGAGTCCGGAACGGTTTTTAGTGTTCAGACAACGCCAACAACAACATTCATTCGAGTTTGTCACAAAAATATTGAAACTCAAGCGTGTACTTTCAGGTTGAAAAAACCGAGAAAAAACACACACGGCGCCACAGAAAGGACGGCAGCGCGGCGAAAACAACGCTCTACAAATACCACACCGCCGGAAGTCTGATGCTGTTGCCAACTACAACTACGCTATCCGGGGGCGAGCGTTTCGCGTGCTGGAAGCGGGGCGTCATGAGGACTGAAACGGCCGCTTCCCCCCTACGGCGTCCTATTCACTTGGCCGGTATCTGTCAGAGCAGCTTTCCTTCTAGCGTTCAACCTACGGAAAATATAGAACCAAAGTACGCGCACGATTTGCACAATGAACCCGTGTTGCCCCCATTTCTAAAAACTCGCTGGACTACAGTACACACTAGTATACACGTGCTGGACAATCAAACGCCTACATAACCATAGACTAGCCTTTTTCGGGTTGTTGTAGCTCGTAAAGATATGCGTGGCAGACGCCGCAATTGAATCGGCGGAAACCTCCGTGTCGACAGGCGGCAGAGGCGTATTCCGAACTTCTTGTTGGCAGTCTAACTATGTAGGTTCACACACAAACCATTCCTGATGTAGATTGGACGGAGCTTCAATTTGATGGCGGGAAGCCAACGTTTAGGCACCAATTCGTCGAGATCGGAGCAATCTCGTGCCGAATTCCGCGCCGGGGGCACCTGCTGCTGCGTGCTCGAGAGGTTCGTGCGTAAGTAAGTCCGATCGCAATGCACAGAAAATCGTCAACCATCAAGTTGTTGTTCGCGTACAATTTTCGGCGGAACACTCCGCGTCGAAAGGCGGCAGAGGCGTGCTTCTAGCCGCTTGTTGGCAGCCTAACTAAGTACGTTCACACACAATCATTCCTGTTGTAGATTGGACGGAGCTTCAATTTGATCGCGGGTAGCCAACGTTTAGTGGGTTAGGCAAAAAACATCAAGATCGAAGAAATTTCGTGCTGTTTCATGCCGGGAGCACCTGCCGCGTGCTCGATTTTCGTGCTTGGTAAGTCCGATCATCGACATTGCCAAACATTGGCGAGAGAGGTGCCAATCAAGGCGACTCTGGCTGACGGCGTCTAAAGTACATAAGGCATCCGATTGGTCGGATTCCTGGCGCCTCGGGCGTTCGCGAAAAAAAAGCACGAGGTTCGGAGCTTCGGACTGAACGGCGACATTCATTCATTCATTCACATGCTTTGTACCGTTCTGTGAAACCTCTAGAGACCGTATCGGTCTTCTAGAGGGAATGAACGGCAACATTCATTCATTCACATTTGTTTTTACCGTTCTTTGAAACCTCTAGAGCCCGTATCGGTCTCCTAGAGGAATGTATTTCAATCACGAGAAACACACATGTCGGAGCGATCTACTCTGGATAAATTGACCTGCTCCGCAGGGCTGCCTCCCTAGATTGAGTCCAGTATTGGACAGACAGGTGGCAGCAGTAACACAGGGTAAACTAATCGATTTCTCACACCGTTACTATCGAGTTTCATACCGTCATAGACGCACACGAGGGTCGGGAGGAGGCCTAGGCAGATGGTGTCCACCAACCAAATCTTAGTCTTGTGTGATGCTGCTCATGTTTTGTCGCACAACACGCCGAGTTGTGCACGCCTCTGGTCCGAAGACACGTGGCTTGCCTCTCGCCCGCCCCGTCGCCGCCAACAACTATTACGCTGTACATTATTCACACCACCGTTAGGCTGCTGTAAGGGGGTCGTTCCCAATCGAGGTTGTGGTTTGTTTCCGAGAGACAAAACCGACAGCACCGCATGCATGCATCGTCGATTACTTTCTGTACGAGTTTCCCTTACAACTAGCCTACGTACGTGCTCTATGGGGGACTTCTGTGCCCCCGTGTCAAAAATTCAAGGGCTACCTAAAGCAGCGGTACTCCAGGTTCCCTCCGACAAAACGGGACGGACTCCTTCCGGCGAAAAGGAACAACTCGCCAACCACATCGCACGCAGATTGGGATCTTCATTCTCTCTTGGTGGCGGTGAGACAGACCCCCCCCCTTTCGAACATCACGGCTTAGCCAGAAATTGGGCGGCGTTTCCGTTTGCGAGCGCCGCGGCCTCCTCGATCGAAACCCCCTTGGCTTCCGCGATTGCGCCGCACACCCGCAGGAGTTCCTCTGCCGCTTCCCTCGCCGGAGCACGCCTGTCGGTCTCTATCAAAACCCGAGAGTCGGGGACGACTCTCAGCACATCTGTCATTATTTTCGCGAACGAGCAAACGCCAAGCGGAAGCGGCAACGGCGTTCACCCGAGGGGGCAACAAGAACGAGCGGTGTGGCGTGGAGGCAAAGAGCACGAGGGTCTGTCGGCTTCTGGAACATGGCAAAAAAACATTCGGCAAATCGACGTACGTGCGCACGATCGCGAAAAGTGAAAACAGGGTGGAGAGAAGGAGGGGGCGAAACGCGTCGCGTGTGGGGAGGAGGGGCGCGCACGAGTAAAAAACCTTCCCGAGTTCAGTGTCTCGAGTGCGCGCGTCCTTTCTTCAACAGCAACTTTCTGGTTGGGCAGAGGGGCCCTGCGGTTCACCAACACGCTTGCCGATGCTCACACTCACCGACCAAGCGTTTCGTCTCACGGTCACCCCGCATGTTCACCGCCGCCGAAAACCCAAAGAAAACCTCGCTACCGTAGTCCCTCCGCGCGCCGAGCCTGACGCAACCGCACCGCAACAGCGAGAAAAAATATTACCGGAAGTACTCGTTACTATGTCATTGCGTTGTTGTTGCCGCGTCATTGACGATACAAAATCATAGGCGGCACAAAATCATTAGGCTTCAAAGAGTCTAAGAACACGTTGGTCGGCGCTCTGCTACCTGTTTCGTGTCCCCAAGGCTTTGGGGGCTACGTTAAGCACATAGCAGGAGGCTGCGTGTGTGGTTCTTTTTAGCATCGACCGCGCTAACCGGCTGATCAATGAAAAGACGTCAGTGTCAGGGCCATTGAAAGCATAAAAAATACTACGGAATTAAACGATCTGGGCCCCCGTGAAGGAACGTCGTGGGGGAGTCTATGCTACTCTCCGCATTAAAGACAAATACCGTAGCAATAACAGAAAAAAAGTGTGTGTGTGAAAATTGGTCTTAGCTGTCATGGTAACCCTCCGGAGGGTTCGATGGGTAGGTTGGTCAATGTGGAGACTTGGCTCGGCCGGAAATAAAAGGAAGAGACGATCGAGTCCTCAAGCCCGACCTGAACTATCTGCCTCCATGAGTACAGTACCCGCCCGCTTCTGTTGACGGGCTGAGCCTACCTTACGATAGCCCAGTCCCACATGGATCATCGCTAAATTGTTTTGGTTGAGACCATTCTGACTGCAAAGGAGTCGTCCAGTTCCCTACGCTGCTCTAGAGGCCTAGCAATATGATGTTGTCTAGAGGGCACTTGCCCAGCAAGGGGGGTTCACCTTGTAATGTCCTTGGCGACCTCCACTGATCCCGTGAAGGAGCTTATGTCGCAAAAAACGAGAATCAATAGATCAATATGCAGCCGTTGCAGCAGCCGCAACCGCAACAGTAGCACGACAGCAGCGGCAGCGGTAGCAGCAGTAGTATCAGCAGCAGCAGAACATGAGTCAAAAGGCAAGCACGTGACGCGATGGATTCACACAGATGTGGGAGAGACCGGACAACGAGCGGAACAGGCGCGAAAAGCGGGGTGTGTGTGTGCGTGTTGTACTTCGTTTGGGACCGCCTCACCATTTCCTCGAAAGAACAACGCAGAAAACAACCCATCAGCCACAACTTACACAGGCAGCAGTATAACCTTCTGGTTCGAGTGAGTTCACTGGTGTCTTTTCACACTCACTGCAGTGCGATTCGCGGCGGAAGTCGCCACCGCTTTCCCTCCCCTCCCATGCCATTGTACTCCTCTTTCTGCCCCCCAGCTGGCGAACGCCCGGTCTTGCGCTCCATCAACCTATCATCGCCCCCACCGCGACTAAAGTCGCCGCCGTTGCCTCCCTCCGCGAGAACGCTGCCGTCGCCACCGCTGCCTTCAACTCCGTTCTGCGCCCGCCATTTGTCGGCACCGCCGCCGCCGCCGCCGCCGCCGCCGCCGCCGCCGCCGCCGCCGCTGCTGCTGCTGCTGCTGCTGCTTTTGTTGCCGCTGCTGTTGCTGCCGCTGCTGCTGCTGCCGCTGCCGCTGCCGCTGCTGCCGCTGCTTTTGTGTGTTGCAGGACCGTCTCGCTCTGACCCTCGAAGGTAGTCCACTAGCTTCCCGTGGGCCTTAACGCAGTGCACTGAGACCGGCCGAGACATCCTCGCGGCCAGCTCCATCTGGGCCTGGAAGACCTCCAGCTTGAACCAAGGAATATAATAATATGACGATAGAGTTGAGTGCCGACGAGTGAGTGCCAACGAGTGAGTGCCGACGAGTGAGTGCCAACGAGTGAGTGTCGACGAGTGAGTGCGTAGACACATCGATCGACCGATGACTATAATAGCACTGTATTTTCGCTGCCTTTGTCTACATGACCGTGTGCGGGCGTGCCCCCCGAAATCCAGGCATACAACGGCGCCAGGTGTGCACCGCAAACCCGGAACAATCGTCAAATCGGAAACAAAAGCTTCCCCTGGCCCGACACAAAACAGTAGTACGTCTACGATCCCACTCCCCCTTCTACGAAAGCTCGAGAACTAAGGCGTCAAGCCAGACCAGACGAAGGTGCCGGGCGCAACGCCATTTTACCGGACTCTCGACCAGAGCAATACTGGGGAGGTACACACGCAGACATGGGGGGGGGCAAAGAGCTTATGACCGAAGCGGGAAAAACCACTCCCTATTTTTCTCCCGCACCTCTTACCTGATCGTCCCACTCCACCCTTCTGGTGTCGGGAGTGCGGGCCACCTTGTCGAGCCCTGCCGCCAACCGGCGAGCAAACAAGAAAAATCGATCGATTGTATCTCACACCTCCTGTAACGGCACACACCTTTTGGTCTGCATTATTGTGGTGGGCAAGTGTGCCAGTCACGAAGCATCGCAGGTTGACTGCCCTCGTTCGTCGAAACCGCAACTCAATGCAGGTATTCGAGGGGAAGCGGTTCCTCGAACAACCAACAGGTATCTAGCAGGAGAATATTCTACAACGGGTGATTTTGAAGTCACCCTAATATATAGAATAGGCTCAAGGGGTGTTGTCTGTTAAAAGCTCGACTACACTTTAATATTGCGTGTACTGTATCTCAACGAATTCTAAATGCGTGTGCTTAGTTGTTGGCTTGGGCAAATGAACTCAATGTGGGGCGGGGGGCGGGGGTATCTCCTGCTGTCGGCACTTTCCTCCTGCATCTCCTGCTCACCAATTTCACCCACGAGGGCGTGCGGATGCTGCTCGAGTAGCGCCGTGAGATCGCGCAGCCACTCCTCGGACCTCGCGTGGGCGTACCTGATTTTTAAAGCCCACGGCCGAGCGACTGGATAACTAGTCTATTGCAGGCAATGCATGGGTCCGAGGACCGCAGTCAACACTACTGCTGCTACAGTATACGTCTGGTTCAAGTGATGCACGAGAGCCATGTCGATTTCTCGGGGGAAAGTGGGCAATTAGAGTGCTACGCCGGGAAAGAGATGCGATGATATCCCGTCCCAAGATAGTTTACATGCTGCGGCGTGCATGCGTGGATTTTCGTGTTCTCGTAGACCTGGAGTACAGGCAAGGATTCTCGTTAGGAGCATCGTGTGTATCTCTATCTCTCCGTTTAGATGTTCTACTGCTGTTCGAACAGAGTTATCAAATGCTCGTCATAAACAAACGGCTGGCTTACGCTTTACTTACCTCATACATATCGTTGCTGTGCCACTTACGTTCTCAGCATGGTCTCGCCGACGCTCATTGAGCGACGACATATCATCAGCAGCAAACTCCGTAACTGCGATTGGATGTACAGCAGCAGTGACTCAACCAATTGCTGCGCAGCACGCACGCCTTTGTCGCAACCCACCATGGATGCAGTCCCAGCCCAAACTTGAAAAAGGAAGAGTCAGTCGTACACTCGCCCTTCTCAGCCTTCGAAGAATTCTCATCTTCCTCTCCCGCTGCCCTTGTTGGTGCCGCGGCGGATGCAATAATGCCCCTGTGTGTGCCCGCGCACCAAGAACGCGGCGGAAGTTACATATCTTGAAGAGCATGAAGCATGATTACGAATAGCAAACACGAGAGAGACAGCCAGCCACGCAGCTGCTTCAGACTGGGCTACCATAACCGAGCATGCTGCGGCCAGCCACGAGTTCCTCCTATGAACATCTCTTTCTCATTGTCTCACCGTGCCTGTTTCGTCAGTGTTCGGGTGTTACTAATACTGCGCCGCACCTGCGCGGGAGATCCTCCGCACCAGCGGCGAACGCCACAGCTCCATGCCAGTCGTCCTCTCTGATTCCCATCGTCATATGCACCACCTCGGGCAGAACCGCCGCCACCGAACCTTTCCTTACCTCTCCGCTGTCGGTGACCTCAGCTCGCACACCTCTTCCCTCGTTGCTGCCATCGCAGTGACTACTGCTGCTGCTGCCGGGGTTGCTGCTGTGAACGGGTTGTTTCGCAATGTTAGTAGTGGCGGAGCAGCAGCCTGTCCCTGACTCAACCAAAACGTGAACGTGGCAATGTGTGTCTATCAGCACCTGGGACGCCAGGCCTGGCGACGTCTGCTCGCTCATGACACCCCACTCTCGCTTGATCATGTGGACACACGAGAGCAACGAGAGGCGGGGGCACTTCGAACGTGTTTCCGGTGATAGTTGGGGGGGGGGGGGAGAGAGGGTAGAGAACCGGCGGACCACCAAGCAAGCGCCGGTGCGGTGTTCTGCAGCATTATCCTAAATAGCATACGCAGCAGCGGCACCTGCAGGTCGTATGGCGAGACGAGATGTGCTGTGCGAGATTCAAAGTGTTCTGGACGCGCTTAGACGCAACGCACGGTTCGAGATCAGAGAGGTAAGCTACAGCGCCCAAGAAGAGAATATTCGCAAACCTTTGAATTTCTGCTTGTGCGTGTAGTCTACACACGAGAGCATGTAAACTTGCTGTATACGCAATGGATGCCGCCCTACAGCTTGTCTGTCTGGCGCTGGACATCGACTGCTGCAGTGACAATTTGAAGTGTACGCATCATAGGCTGTTGGGGCATGCTCTGACCACAGCGTTCGTCTTTGTTTCACCCTTGGACGGCGTCTACGCTCATTACGTACATCCGACAACCAGCATCGCTCCGCTGCGGAGGAAAGCCGGCTAACTGCCGACTTGAAGGCCCTGCGAGAAGCTGTCCGCGACTGGCCAAACGAGGGTGAGCGAGAGGCAAAGGAAGACGCGAGGACAAGCCTCTGCTAAGCTGTAGATTTTCGCAACGCCGTTGTGGCATGGCGCCTATTTCGATTCTCGCGGAGACACTGCACCCCAACAAGTGATCGCATGCATTCAAGGATAGTAAATGTGACTTGGTGATTGTTGATTGGTTGGGTGATTCGTTTATTTGGCCGCAACCTGAGCCCATCTACTGCTGTACGCATATCTGCTCGTCCTGTTCTCTGATCAAGACTGTAATTATGCTACGAAACCGAGTTGAGCGTCTCCCGAGAGAACAGCGACGCGGCAGTGCCATGCCGTAGACATCACGTCCTCCGCGATACGTGTTGCAGTATTTAGCATTCGATGCTACGGCAGCACAAAGCGCCGTACCAGGTGATCTTCTTAGGCGAAGTACGCGTATGCCAAAACAGCGTAGTGGTAGTGAACTACATCGTCTGGCACAAGCATGCTCACGTTAAGGCCCTGGTGAACAGCGTGCTCTGTGGATCTGTCTGTACGCACACGTCTGTACCCACACAGACGCCGCCGTGTTATTTCAAAACAACGTATTTCGTACTGCAGAGGTCAACGACTGCCACTGTGCAAGCGTGGGTCTTCGGTGCAGAAGGGGCGTATTAGTTGTAGAAGCAACCGACGGCAAGTGTGCGGGATACAGAAACGCGAGGCAATCTTCGGGAGTTGTTGGTCGAAATCAGCAGAGAGCTACAAAAAAAACGACTGCCCTCCTCGTATTCATGCACATCGTCCTCATCGTACAGCGGCAGTACACCACGAACCTTGGTTGGACACCGAAACACACGCCACGTTGTAGAAGCGGCACCAAGTCCCATCCAACAAACTAACTTGGAAAGCGCTTGTTTAACAGTATTTTTTCGGCAATGGGGCCACTCAACTGACATCACACTACTGATGGTGTGTGTTGCTTGTATGGAATGATACGGCTCGTTTTGATTCGAAATGCTGCTGGGCCAGCACTCACGAAGTTGACAAGGAGCAGCAGCAGCAGCAGCAGCAGCAGCAGCAGCAGCAGCTCTCAGCCCCAACACCTCCCGCACCCCGTACTATCACTGCCTGACCTCGTGTCCTGTCAGACCTCCGCGGCTTGAGCAGGCTGGAGTTGGTCTCCCCGTTCCTGTTGGTGGTGCGCTCCCCTGAAACCAACGGAGTCCTTACGGAGGCTGCGCTGAGGTCGCTGCAGGTGTTTTCACGCGACCGGCTGATAGGTGGGGTACCTCTCTGGCTGCCTGTTCGTCTTTCTGGTTGTCTCTCTGGCTGTCTGTTCGTCTCTCTTTTTGTTTCTCTCTGCCGCTCGCTCTCTCTCCCCCCCCCCCCTGTCTCTCACCCTCTATGTTGCCTGGCTGTCTGTGCGTGTGTCTCTCTCTCCCTGTTTCTCTCTATATATATTGTCTCTTGCTCACCTTTATACTGACAAGTCTCTACGGTACTGCTGTATGTTCATGTTTTCGCCTCTTGTAGCATCCTGTTGCTGTCGGCGTGCTCGCTGCACCTGGCGAGGAGTGTCAGGGATCTGATCGAAAGCCTCTGTCCACCCATCCCAGCAGCATAACTTTTAGCGCAAAACCTGTACAACCTACACAGTGAGGTCGACGAAGCTGTTCCTCAGGGTCTCTCAACGTCACACGAACCTTTTCTCGAAGCGCAAAACGGGATTTTCCTCCCAGGCGAGGTGGCTCACGTCGCTTTCGTAAAATCCCATGAAAAACAACGCCAAACCCGCCCACCCACCCACCCCCACGATACAATATCGTGGTACACAAACGTCTTCTCGTCCGAAACCCGCCGACGGCGGGCTGTTGCGTGTTTCGCCTGGCGTCACCTTGCCCTCGCAGAGGAGAACTCGGTACACGCCTCCGAAGCCGTCGGGGACCTCGTGGACGCGCTGATCGGGTGCAGGTTCGAGGAGACCCAGCAGGACCATGACGAGGCGGTTCGAGCGAGAATCATGCACGTCTTGGCGGCGTGCCTGGAGGGCGGGGCCGGGGTGTGGCTGTCGGACGAGGTGGTCTGGGCGGTGCTGCAGACGTGCATGGCCAACCTTGATCAAATGGTGCGAGGCTGCTGGTTGGGGTTCGGCTTTTTTTGTTGTTGTGGCTGTGGAGAGAGAGAGAGAGAGAAAGAGAGCGTGTCGTTTTCTGCCGCGGACTGGCGGATGCCTCGGTGTCGTTGTGAAGATCACCGTTGTCATAACCGTTGTGAAGACCACCGTTGTCATAACCGTTGTGCTGGTAGTCGTTGTCGTCTTCGCCGTCGTTGTTGTCGTTCTGTTTGTTGTTGTTGTTGTTGTGGTAGTTTTTCTCGTTGCTGTTGTTTTTGTTGTTTTCGTTGCTTTCGTTGTCATTGCCGTCGTCCCCGTCGTTGATGTCGTTGTGGCTGTTCTCGTTGTTGTGGTTTTCTCTTTGTGGAGGCAGATTGAAAGGCATACAGTTCGCACCGAACAGGCGTTGACTTTCATGCGTACATTAACGGGTGGCATGCTGTGTCTCCGGCCCTCTTCACCCCTGTCCAGCCTACCCAATACTCGTTTGTGGCCTCCGTTAGGATTAGGCCGATGTCGAGGGTACTTGCAGCGCCATGTTTCTCCCTATAACCTCTCCCTGTGATGGGCTCAAATCACCCCCGAACGAGCCAATTGGTCTTCGTCGCTACAGCTGTCTCACTTTCTTCCCCTGCTGCGGCTCCTCCTCTACTGTTGTTATTCATTCCGCCGATTGTGCGCTTGCGTATGTTCCCGCCCCCCCCCCCCCCCAACCCAAAAAACCCCGGGTTGGGAACCGGGGTTTCCTCCGCGTGGGGGGGTGGGCCTTCCCGGGGAACCGGCAAACACCTCTGCCCCCCCCCCCCCCCAAACAAACAAACACCACCCCCTGAAAAAATCCGCCCCCTCCCCCCTTCTGCCAAAGGGGGCGGAAGAAAACCTCCTCCAAGGTGTCCCGGGGCTGTTTTTCCCCCCCCCCGGAAGGGTCCTCCTCCCCCTGGTGGAACTCCCCGAAAAAAACCCGGCGGCCGCCGCAACCAAAAAATTTCCCTCAACCCCCCCCCCTCCCCCAACAAATAATGAAGGCAAAAATCCCCCCAAAGGGGGTTGGGGGGGGGGGGGTATT